AAAAAAAAAACCCAAGATTCGAAAACGCTGAATGCAATTTACATTTACCGTTCGTTGTTTATTCAAAACGGCAAGATACACAGAGCAGAAAAGTAGCAGTGGTCCAGCCGCTGCTGCTATTTCTAGCCAACACGTTTAAGTCATTAGAGAATTACTTGCTTTCGATTAGCTTGCTCTCGATCTTTTTTCGACATTTTAACGAAACGATTTCACGATGTACGAGAAAAATTCAATAGAATTGAAAATTCGAGTTGAAATTAAACGAGGCATAGAGCGATCTCGGAATACCCGAAAATTGTTAATCGATAAATGAACAAAGTTCGTGAGTTTGTTGCTGGTACGGTTGGGGAAAAGGCTGAAGGAGATCGTCAGGAGGGCGCGCGCTCGAGGAGTCACTCGACGAAGACGAAGACGGAGACGGAGTCTCGGAGGAGCGGTACGGTCACTTGGCGTGCTGCTTCGGAAGATGCCGTTTCATGTGAAGGGCGAGGTGGTCGCTCCTGGCGAAGGAACGCTCGCACACGGCACACTTGAAGGGCTTCGCGCCCGTATGCTTTCGATAGTGGCGAGTTAATTCGTCGCTTCTGGCGAATCGCCACTCGCATTCCGGCCACTGACACTGGTACGGTTTTTCACCTGGAACAAAAAAAATGTTACAATGCATATACGCGATGCTTCCGCCAACTTTCACTGGAGAAATCCATTTAGAAAACACGATTCAAGAGAACGATACGCGAAATTTGGAAATCTGTATAAACCCGGAAACGGATAACATTGATCATTCCTCGCATGAATCATTCTCTCGAAAGAATGATAAATTCAAATAACTTGTCGAGCTGATTTGATTCTTAAAATTTTGCGCGGGATCTACTGTATCCGATAGTAGTCGTACCCCCACTACCAACGATACGAATTATCCCTTTTACTCTTTTCTTCTTTTTCATATTACTCTTAAATTTCGATTCCAACATTTCGTAACTGCCTCTCTCTCCAAGCCCATTTCCCGATTTTTCTCCAATCATCCAACCTTATTATTATTATTATTATTATTATTATACGAGTTATAAAAGTATCGATTTTCCAAGGTGATTGTGACACGCGGGTTAACGGGTTTCCGATGGCCATTTCGCTCGGGAGAAGGCTTAGTTTTCGCGATGGAGAAAAGTTAACTGGACTCGAAGCGTATGCATCTGAGGACCGTTGCCTCGGTTGCAACGAAGCGAGGCTAGGCGAGGCGAGATAGAGCGAGGCCGGGCGAGGGGAGGGGAGGGGAGGGCGGGCGAGGTCAGGGCGGGGCGGGGCACGGCGCGGCGGAAAAAGACGAGGCGAGGCGAGGCGAGGAGCAAAAGCAGGAGCAGGAGCAGAAGCAGGATCGGCGAGAACGCGAACGGATTGCGCTGGAATACAGGTGAGCGTATTGCGGCACGCGGGTACAGTTAAAGGTCAACGCGGCATCTCTCGTCGTAGCCTAAGGTTGGTTCTTCGTACACCACCTATCGCAAAGAGCACCGCATTGTTCTTTAATAGGCTCCTTTCTTTGGCTCCGAGCCGCCGCCGCGATCTCGACCGATCTCCTTTGCCCCCGAATCTCTCCTCCATCCATGGCGATTCTCATCCACCATTACCCCCTCGATCGATACCATTCAATCGTGCGCAATTCGACGCTTCCTTTTTATCTCATTGATATGCATATCTTGGCCTCGTTTGATGTCCTTTTGCACGTTCCTCTTTGTCGCGAATATATTGAGGGAAAGTCGTGATCTTTGACGACGAGAGCGAATTTAAATTTAATGTAAATCTACGAATCTTCGTAGACATCAACGCTTTCTTTCTTTAAACTTTCTTTCATATGATTAAATTATACCGTTATATAAGGGATTGAATAGAGATTAAGAGAGATTGAATCACTATTGGTTCAGATTAGATTTAGCTTAGGTTAGGAATCGGATGTGTTTAGCTCCTCGAAACTGTTCTTTTCGAATATGTTTAAAAAATATGTAATAAAATCTCGCGATCGAGCGATGACAGCGAGTGTAATCCTTGCGAGATCTCCATTTCCGATTACACGAACTAATTGACTCTGGCGAACGCGTGTTTTCACAGCTGACGCGCGGGAAATGTTATTTAGACGAGAATCGCGTTGTCAACAGGTATTTGCCTCGAAGCTAAAGATCCCACGATCGTTCTTAGTTTAGGCTCGTTTCACACCTCTCGTGCGTTATACCTCGGAATTCGACAATTTTTCGAACAATATTGTGTCGAAAAATAATTTCACGAAATAGGAAATGATAAAAACCGGTTACACGGGGAAAAATAACGGACTGTATCGTCGGTGGACGAAGCAAAGTCAGAATTCGATGTGTTGCTTAGACTAAAAAAAAAAGAAAAAAAAAATGGGATTTTAGACGGGAATCTCGGTTGAAATGATAAAAATTGCGCGAAGGGAATAGAACTGTTGTACGGCGCATCGGAAAATAGCAAGCGAGAAGGCTCGATAGCTAAGAAATACGCCCACGCATACCGGTGACTCGTTCTGCTGTATGGAACAGCTCGCTATGGAGACGACCCCAACCGGTCTTAGCCACACGCACGACTCCCATACAATCGGTATTACCACCACGAGGCGGCATCCATTCACGGTATTGCTCGTTCATGAGAATTCCGAGGCGATTTCTTCGAGACGTGGCGTCGCGTCGCCCAAGAGAAAAGGACTAGCTCGAGAGCCAGCCAGCCTTCCGGTAATAGGGTTTTTTTCTTTTTCTTGTTACTAGCCATCCCTCTGTCGCGTGCCTCCTTCGTCCGTAGTATATCTTCGCTAAAACGAGTCTCGCGAGATTCGTGGGAAGATCTGTATCTATTTTATCCTTGGATGGAGAATTGATCGAGTGTAATTTAAAAAGAAAAAAAGAAGAACGTGGAAAAAGAGGGTATAGAAACAGAAAAGGACGATACATATATATGTTGGAAGTGTAAATCGATCGTAATGAAAATGGAAAAGCAAAGCCGTTTGATGCGTGTCGTCATCCGATCGGCAATTATTTGTATTGAGTCATTCGATCGGTTCACTCCAGTTTTTTCCCTGTCAGGAAATAACTCGAGTTTAACGCCGATTCCCTTTTTACCTTTAAAGATTCGTGTTTTTCTTAGGAACGATAGTCTTCCTACCTCGAGGATGGAGATTCGTTGATTTCTCTATTTTTCGCGATTAAAAATGGATCTTTTTTTTTTTCATCTCGAAATAGATCAGATAAAGATAGATTTTTTAATCGAGAATTTTACAGTAAAAAGGGGGCGGATTTGTAAGAGCTTTAAGAAAAATTAACTTAAACATATTTGTATAAATTATTGCTTTGATTGAAAAAAATATAATTTTTTTACTCGATAATTAGCAACTCTCGATACTTTTACTTATTTCAATTTTCGTAATTTCGAATTGCAACAAAATATCCAAAAAAAAGTGATTGTTGTTTCATCAAATATAAACAAAATGAAATATACACAATTCATCGATTTTTCATTAATAAAAAAATATATTTTCCACTATTCGTTCGTTCGAGAGAGAGAATCCATGTATATAAAAATTTTTTTCCCATACATGGTTACGCTTAATATCTCGAAAACTGTCAAAATGAATCTGCCCCCTACCAAAGTTGCCTCGTATTTCTAAGAGAAATCAGAAAACTAGCAAACAAGAGCGCATGTCCATTACCAACGATTTTCCTTCGATAACGTTCCAGATGGAAGGTATCTTTGTTGAATCACGAGCGTTGGCTCGACGACGCCTACGAACCTCGAGGCGTCCCCGTTAATTTCGGATCACTTTCACCGCGCAGTACGGTGTCTGCCATTCGCAGCGTCTCACGATCCAACAGCTCGGTCTCTCGAAACTCTCCGTATCCTAGCCTCTCTCGTGCCCCGGACAATTATTATTCCTCCAACTGGAAGCACACTCCTTGTCGCGCTACCCGAGCGTTAGTGGATTTTCGTTCGTTCCTCGTTAACGATCGAGAAACACCGTTAGGAACTCGAATCGCGAAGGTTCTCCGCCACCGCGTCGAGTTTTAAAGCCGGATAAAACGACAGCGGGCAAACATGCAGGCTAGAAGGTTGCCAAAGTTGAAAGCATGGATGAAGCAGGAATGTTGCTCGCCTCGTGTCCGCGCACCCCACACCGTGAGACTTCTCCTCGCATACGTGCCAATCGGTTGTCTCTACACACGAGGCCTCTATAGTGCGAGTAGATACGTGAATATGTATATATACTCGCGTTGCGAGATCGCCTTTCTTCTTTGTGTTGAGATGCAACTATTTGGTAGGAGATATTTACGAACAAATTACGAAAAAATTATCACGTACGATTTATTGACGATAAATATATAATGCGTGGTGGAATTTTTTTCTTTTTTTTTTTTTTTCTTATGAAACAGGAAGGATACGACGTGTCGTTCAACGGCAATGGGAATTTTACGTCACTTTTACGCCACTCTAATTTATACATCGAGTAAAACGATATATAACGATTTTTCGGCGTATATATGCGTATATATGCCATTCAAGCCGAGCAATGGTTTTGACCATGAGAGTATACACAAGCGTTCGAGATTTGATCATTGACCAGGTTGTTTATGTAATGAGAGTCTGTTTAATTTAATCGGTTACAGATTTTTTGTGAGATTTTGCACTTGTATAAGAATCGTTTTGTAACAAGAATAATATAACTTACATTTATATACCATGGTACGAAATATATTCGTACGAATAATGTCGAACGGTAAATGCATTCAGTTAGATAGGAGCTCGGGTAGAATTGAAATGATAAGGCAACTACTAAAATTCCATTCATATAAGTAGAGTTTTAACCGTAAATACGTACGTACAGTTTGCTTCATCAAGATTGCTTTCAAGATTCTACAAGGAAATTTGTTAAAAAATTTCCACTATCTTTTTCGAGCTTAAAATTAAGCTTCAAAAATTCTATCCGCACGACGCGCGTATAGTAAATGATACCAAATTGTTTTCTAACTGTATAAGATTCTAATCTCTTCGATATCTGTAACTATAAACGGTACGCTTGTACCAGTAAATATGTGCATTGTTTTAAGATTGCTCCCCGCTCTCAGTAAAATGTAAGTGACAAAATTCTAACTTGTTGCATATTTACAAATCCGTTCAAATATTCCCATTGTGTTCGTTTCGTAGGTATGCTATATAAGCAACACGAACGTTTTCGTTTCGAAAGCAGAAAATTAACCTTTGTCTGAAATAATAATAACCGGTGAGAAATTCGCGTGTTGAATGTGTTGTATATAAGTGGCGAGCATTGCGAGGAACGATACGCGCGTTTCATCCCACGTAAAGTACTTACACACGGCTCGTCTTACGAGAGAGTTTCTTGGACCTTTGAGAGTTTATGTATTATACGGCTCATCGAATAAGCCGAGAAGTTTCGTTCCGATACGCACGTGGAATCTCTCAAATTCCTATGTCTAATCGGATCGTTGCCAGGTTCCCATTTCGAGGATGTTCCCTTCGCTTATCGCGACGGCGAGAGTTACCTCGAAAGGATCGGTTTTTATCCGTGTAACGTGGCGAATGGCGCATCCCGCCTATAATTTCGATAACATCTGTCCCAAGCGGATAAAAGAAAAAAAGAAGGAATGATCGTCCCAAGGTTGTCTCGCGCAAAAACCCTGAAATCGGTAGACGCGCACGAAATTTTCCTATTAAGAAACACGCGACGTGTACAGCTTACACGTGGTATATAACGCATTCGAACATACATTAGCGGAATACTAAACGATGGCCGCAAGAATCGAGCGAATGTTCGTTCGTTCGACCGGTCGCGAACAATCCTCGAATATAGACGTTCCACCTTGGACGGTGTATAATTTACGAGCGATCGACCCGATATTCTTTTCTCGATGCTTTCTCGATGCTCGAGACGGGACACCGTGGAATGGAACGAGGAACGGGCTGGCTCGGAACGCGGGACCAGACGGTACTGGACTGGACGCATGCGCACGTGCACGCGTTGGACACGCGTGTGCGTCGAAGCGCATCGGACAGAGAACCGGCGGTGAATGCGCCCGGCTCGTGGAGGCTTAACGCCGAGAAACGATTCGACGTTGGTTCATTCAAGAGCCACGTGCCCGAGGCTCTCGACCCGCTAACTACGCCACTGCTTTATCCCTCGCGATTCACCTTTCGGATCTCGTCGCCTTTCGTTCCTTTCGAGATCGAACGTTTATTAATAGCTAACCTACCTGCACCGAATTCGGTTCGTTCGTTACGTTTGATAGGAAGGACGAAGGAGATTCTCTCGTCTTTCGAAACAATCGATCGAGAAGATCAACAAAGAAGATCTCTCGACGGAGAGAAGAGAGAAATTGAATTCTTAAAAATGTGCAAGAGCGTATTGCGTATACAAAATCTCGAGGTATCAATTGGAAAGTGGTACATCGTGGTTCGGGGACGCCTTTGGCAAGCATTCCGCGAGAAGTTGTCGAGTGGGCATCTATCGTGCCCCTCTCATTCTTTTCGACCCGACTACACGCATATACGTCCGCTTTCGCGTCGTTTACATACTCAAAGAACTCATGCACGAATTTTCTTCGAATTAATCTCGTGTGTTCTGTTGTTCTCCACGAACACTTTGACTTTCCACGCATGCAACTATCTATCGATAAATTGTAGCAATTTCTTCTATATAATGAGGACTTTTATTAATGCGCGCTTTAATTCCCACAACTTCTCATCCACAAATGAGATTGTCTCCTAATCTTTCCCTAATAAAATAACGAGTAACATTATCACAGAATCCAATCGATCTTCCACGTTTCGCATACGAAAAAGATCTTCAAAAAAAAAAAAACATTTATATCATTTCACGTTGTCATCTCTGTTTATTAAAAAGAAGAAGATATTATAATTCAGATTTGTCGATATTTATTTATATAATCCCTGCGAGGGAAATGTACATCTATATCCGTTAAATTCATTAGAATAAAATATCGAAAGAATTCGAATTCAACATGCGACAGCCGTTGAAGGAAACACGGAGTAAAGCGACGGCAAACGAGCACGCGACAGTTCCTTCGGAGAGAGGATTCCGCGTGGTTTTAGCGGACAACCAGAAACCCCTTTCATCCTCGGCCGTGTACAAATACACGTAGGTGTAGGTAATACGAGCGCGTTAGCAGCGAGCAGCGTGTTTGGATACGGACAGGATGTGGGTCGCTAGCTCGAAGTCTACGAAGCGGAGTGTCGCATACCACGTTTCATGCGTTCCTTATACGTTTACATATGATAGAGGCTCCTTTGCGCGACACCGCGCGCATAGACGGAAAGATTGGAGAAGTCTGGTGAAGGAAGAGAGACGAGTATGAGCGCGCGTACGGTGAAGGAAGAGAGAGAGGATACAGAGACGAAGGTTAAAGGAAGAAAGGAGGCTGGAAAGAAGGAGAGAAACCTACGAGAGAACCGCGCCCTGCCCACGCCAAGCGTTCGACCTCGCGCTTTCAAACGCTTCGTTTCGCTTCGTAGATGAGCTACATATCTAATTTCCACGCTCGTTCCATCTTTCCATAGATACACGTAATGCCGTTTTCCCGGCAAAACGAATCCGGCAACTTCGATCTTGTTGCTACGTACCTGTGTGTATCCGTTGATGCGCCTTTAAATGCGAACTCTTCGTGTAGACCTTTGTACAACCTGGAAAACGGAATGTAACAGTTATTACTCGATAGTGATTGATTTCTTCGCGTCATCTAGAACATTGTTATATTTATTGTTGGAGATAAATATGCAGTTACATTATCTTATTATCGTACTATTCGTACTACTACTTTTATATATATTCGTAGGTTAAACATCTTCTGTTGAAAATTTATCGTATATAAGAGGTTCGATTTCCTTTCTTCGATTTAATTTCGATGCTTACTTGTTCAAAACTCGACAGCACGATAGTTAACATAGATATGCAACAATATACGTATCTTTCCATATACGTATTCTTTTTTTTTTTTCAAAAAATTGTCACAAACAATTTATAACAAAAATTATTCTCAAACTTTCCGAACATCCCTTCATCATTATAATAACGAATAAGCAATACATGGACGCACATCAAATTTTCAAGAATCGAAACCTCCTCCTCCGAAACTGTTCCACGAATATATTACAACACAATGTTGACAAGCTTTCCCTTACCTATGAAATCACAGTGATGAACGCGCCTCTTCTCCAGCTCGGGATTGTTCCGCCTGTTGAATTTGGTGGTGATGGCGGGCGGTTGAATCCTGTGAGGTGGATTCATAATGGACGGCTGGGGATAGGGTGGAGGCGGTGTCCGCCTCGGTGGCGCCCCTATCGGCGAGCCGGGGTCGGAAATCGGCGGCGTCAGCGGGGAAATGTACATTAACCTAGTCATCGAGCCGTAGAGAGGCGAGGTCGCGCTACCACCGATCTGATTCCCCCCGTGGTGGCTCGTCGTCGAGTCGTTGCTACTATTGTTGTTGTTGTTGTTCCCGCTACTGTTGTTGCTGTTAGTATTCGCGTTACCGTTGACGCTGCCGCCGTTGCTGCCATTGCTGTTTTCGTGTTTGGCACCGCTTCCATTGTTGTTGTTGTTGTTGTTGTTATTGTTGTTGTTGTTGTTGTTGTTGTTGTTGCCGGAGGGGAAGGTTTTGAAGGCGGTGGACGGCGGTGGCCGATGGTGAACGACTTGTTGGGGGGGATTCGGATGGCCGTTGGCGTAGTTGGGGTTCGAAGCCGGGCCCTCGAGGAGGTGGAGGGTCGGTGGGGGAGGCAACGGCTCGGTTTTGATCTCGACGGGGGACAATACGGGGGAGGTGACGTCGTCGGTCTCCATTTTCACGTGGGACTGGGAGCCCAACATGTCCGCGTTCTCCGGGTCGAGCTTTTGTATGCTCGAGGTGATGTCCTCCCAGAGCGGCGGCCTGAGGAACACGTCGTCGTCGTTGGCCGCCGGCTGATGACTCCTCGACGAGACGAAGCTCGCCTGCGGCCGGCACACCGGCCCCCCAACCTCGAAAAAGTCCTCCATCTGGACCGAGGGCTCCCTCGGCTCCTTCTCCGGGTCATCCTCGTCGAGTTTCTGCAGCCGGTCGAGGTCCTGTCTGCACAGCAACGTGTCCAGGTCCGAGGTCTGCTGGAAATAGAAAGAGCACAAGGGTCGTGGAGTGTGAGCGGTTGGAAATTTGCTGTTTCATTCATTCGAGCATATATACGTTATATTTTATATATACGTTCCGAAAAAGTCGAAAGTCGAGCCAATCATCGTGCCTCGAATAACAGTCGATCGAACATTTGAATAAATGTAAATTTATAAACGTTGGGTCGAAGCTGAATCGTCATTACGTTCTCTCGTTCTCAACTCCTCGAGCATATTCTAATTTCAAATATACAACTCTGAATCCGAATAATTTATAATCGGATAACAATTTAGTTCAATTACATTTCATAGCGATATACATCGCGATGCGAGGTATTTTCCAACTTACGTATACGCGAACGAATCCTTTTCAAAAAGAAAGGAAGGAAGGGGATGATGAGATGGAGAGACAATCGACAGGCCATCGACGTTGCACGAATATCGAAGCCAGAGCGGGTTCAGTGTGACTCGACGATATGCTGATTGACGAAAATGCACGCGTTGTTCTCGGTTAATATGCAACGAACGCATCGAGGGCTGTGCAGCATGAGGTCTTCTCTCCTACACGCCTCGTGTGCCACACTTCTATGATGCATACGAGTTTAACAACTGTGTGTAGCGCGGGGAGGGCACAGCCGCGGGGGAGAGATGGAAGATGAGACGAGAGGAGAAAGGGACAACGCACGGGTTTCGTCCCGAGGATGGGTGGGGGGGGAGGGGGCCGATGCCTCGTCATTCTTTGCATGATTTGTACACGCGCAACACCGCCCTCGTGCGCCTTGCCTTTTTGTTGTTGCGCCTCTTCGCCTCCCCTCCCTCTTCCTCCCCTCCCCGCCTGTTCGATCCTCGACGATTTTCGACCATTGGACGATAGGATTTGAAACGATTCGAATTTATATAGGCCATTTCGAAATTTGGAATTATTTTATTTTTGAAAATTCGATTCATGGCGAGACGAAAATTTGGATCAGCTTTGAAGATTAATTCTCGTAAGGGTTTGCTCCTTTAATCGCTTAATTAATTAAAAGAACTCCCTCCCCCCTGCAATAATTTATTTAAGGAGCAAATAACGAGTTGCGCATTCGAAAATACTTTCGAAGAGGCGGCGGGAAGAATTGGCGAGAAAACGGGAAGAGGGGACGACACGTTTCTGCCCGTGTAAGAGAGTATAATAAGAAACGAGTTCAGAGTGGTGTGCAGTTTGAAAGTTCGCTTCGAAGAATTTTCGAGGAGCTCCGTTACGACGTGGATCGAAAGAAACGGTATGGAATACGTAACACGAATTTTTAAACATCATCGTCGAATGGATCGAAGTTGTTATCGAGGCGTGAAGAATTCCTATCGCGTTACGGGTATGCGATCGAGGCGAGATCGAGGAGATAAAAAGGCTCAAGGCTGTAACTCTAATTCTCAATTGCAATTTAAGGGGGATTTTAACGCGATGGAGGAAGAGCGATCGAGAAAAATCGAAGAAGTTTTCGAGAAGTCTTTGAGAAGAAAGATACGAAAGCTCTCTCGAGAGGATGAAATGGAAAGGATGGAATGGAAAAGAAAAAAAAGAAGAAAAATCTCATCGAAAATTTTTGAACGATTCCGGCTCACCGTCCGCCAAGCTTATATAGTGATTTATGAATTATTTACACAATGAATTATTCATCGTCGGAAGATTGGTATACTCGCAACACTCGATCGTACCTGATATGCAATTTGAAAAGGAGTTTGTAGCGAGGTACGATATGCGCGCGAAACATTATATTTAAATGCCATATCGTCCCGTCCAGGATGGATGCGGGCTCTGGTACGCGTTTCATCGATAAAATAACTAACAACGATCGGCAAACTGCTGCCTTCGACTCGTATATTGTTGCAACGAGGAAAGAAGACGGGGGAGGGGGGAGGGGGGAGAGAAAAAAAAAATGAGGAAACGGAGAAAATGTAGAAAAAGTTATTTATCCTCGTCGTTTGTTTGCCTCGTTATATTTCCGGCCGATAGATATTGGTAAATTGTTGTTCTCGAGTTGCAAACGAGCGTGTAAAGAAAGAAGGAAGGAAACGGGGATAATAAGAATATTTATCTTTGACGCGTTTATCCTGTTATTTTTGAAGAAAAAAAAAATTGAAGAAATTGAAAGAAGAAATATTCTTCAGTTCTCATTCATCGTGATAAATATTGAATAATCTTTGTTATATCGATGCATCGAAATAATATGATATTACTTCGATCAAATTGTTAGTTTTATTTAATAATCTTTTTTATAATAATCAACACTTTAAAATATACGTTTCGTAAGAAAGACTTTTTAAGAAAGTTTCTTATGATATTATTTCTCATCGGCAGAAAAATTCCACGGCAATAAATAATATTCTTTGGGATATTATTATGAGGAAATATTACGTTCAAACAAAGAAAGAAGAAGGAGTATTTGTTTTCGATGTAACGTAATATCTTTTTCGATTCGGAATTATTATATCGTTATATTGCGTCCTTGTTATCGCATAATGATAACGCATAAATGCTATAATTTAATGTTTTGTCATTTTTAATCGCGTGTGCATTATTTCAATATTAGTTTTTCTTCTTGTTATTATTATTATTATTATAATTTATGCAGATTGATATTTTGATCAAAAGGGATGGAATGGGAATAAAAATTTATATCAAGTATTATAATGAATACTTTACTTGGAATGTTTAAAATTCTTTATATACGTATTTTTGCATATTAATATATTATGTTATATGCATTTTTGCATTTTTAAATTCTTGCAGAAAAATGCATGAAAAATCCGCGATTTACCTATTAATTACATCCGATCTATCGTTGATAGAAGATAATTCGTATCGTATGAAAAGAATCTTTTAAAAAATCAAAAAAAAAAAAAAAGAATTATTCGTTTCGATCCTGAGAAAAAGAAGAAAGAATCCATATTTCGAGATAATTTCGAGATCGAGAAGTTATCTTGAAAAATTCAAATTCACCCGTTCGCTCGTTTACAGCTAAATGTCAGAGATTTGTAGTAGATTCACATTCCTTGCGATAAGGAACTCGATCGAAGCGGATCGAGAGACGTGTACGATTTGATCGATTATTAAATTCGACGACTCTTTTCGATATTCTTTTTTTTTTTTTCAAGGGACCGCCCATTCGACACATTCCTCCTCTTTTCCTCTAGCCATTTATAGGTTAGCTCTCGAGCGTGTCTCTTCGATTTCGGTCGCGGAGATAATGATAGGTGCGGAGTTGGAGCAAAGTTCGTCCATCCGGCCATTTAATGCTCGTAATCATAGAGCGAGGGACGTCGGTGTTAATAACGCGTTTTCGATTCTGTCAGGCTTGGAACGGACACCCACGCCGCGTCGATAGATAACGCGTCGTCATCGCGATGCAATACGAAAAAACCTTTCCATCCAGCGCTCGCTCGTGCCGCCTAGTGTTTTTTATTCCGACCAATCGCTGAGCGACGAAGGAACGCATGCGCGCTGATTCTGCTCCCATTTACGAAGAATGCGATTTGATTAATACGGTCGAACCACGGTATTGGCTCGGGGAATCTCAAGGGAAGAGACTGGATTAACTCTGGTATTAAATTATTCTCGAATCGAAGAGAGAAGAGAATGGAATCATTCGAGTTATCGAAGTTTTCGAGCGAGAGAGATTTAATTCATTGGCGGTTATAACTTGGGTTGTTATTGCGAATGTTTATGCAAATTTAAATTTGCATGAATATAACTATTGGAAATGGAATTGAATAAAGATCTGTTGCATTCTTTGAATATTATAATATGTACTTACTTATTTTGCTTTTAATGTTTTATGTCTTTTTGCATACGTCTCTTATGCATTTTGTATGCATAAAAATGCATACAGTAGTAAATGCATAAATTTTCGCAGGCTAGTCATTACAGAATACATTATTAATTATATTTTCCAATTCTCTGTAACGCTATTATTTTAACATACTTGTGTTAATAACTCGTTAACGAAGGCGAAACGAAAGTTTTTGTAAAGGAAAATGTTGCTGGAAATTACCCAAGGAATCTCCAAACAACCGATATTATTCCCAGACACCCTGTTGTACTACAATTTTTAAATCTTTCTGATTGTTTCTTTGTAGTTTGTAATTTTGAGGAGTTCTCATTTCAAAGTTCTCATTGAAGAAAATTTGTTTTTCGCAATTGTACCATTTTCTTCTAGACAAAGAAGTTATTTTTTTCTTTTTTGTTCTAGTATAAATTTTGATAGAGCAATTATTCTTACTCTAAGAATAAAATGAACGCTTCGCTGATAATTTCAATTCTCAGAAGCTCTGTACTCGGAAAATTATAGTCTCGTATAAATTTTCAATTATTAAAATTATTAACCAAAATTTGGAAAATTTCTAAATTTGAAACTCTTCGTTTCGTCGATCCAAAGACAGAAGTTAAGTAACCAAGCAAGAATTCGAGAAATAAGAAAAATTTGACGTTGATATTTTTTTCTTAACACGATGATCCTCCCTTAAGGAAAACCGCGAGATTTTCGTTTCTTGGGTCGTGTATCATAATTATGGAAATCATCAGAAACTGAATCATCAGCAGGCATGTAGCGACAGCTTGATCGTTTGCTCTATTTATCGAAGATCGGAGAAGGAGGGGGGAAGATGAATGAAAAGCCGTGACAAGGGACGCGGCCATAGTGCTCGCAATAACGAAGCGTAACGCGCAGAAGCGAGCTCGCCGAATCAATCTGGCGAGGCCACACCCTCTGACCTAAAGCCGTTTTATCGCGATAAATGCGCGGACAAATGTCAGCCGTGCGCGCATTGTCAGCCATTTTTGCCGAGAGCTTTCGGGCCGAGGAGCTTCCAAATTCCATTCCATCGAACATTCTAAATTCTTCTGAATTCTTGATTGAATTCGTCGATCTCTCGTTGCGTTATCAATTTGTGATCCCTGATTTAATTTTTTTCAATCTTATTTGAAACGTCGAAACGAGTAGCATTGCTTTCCAGGAAAT